CTCAGAGACTCTTTATCTGATGACATAGTTTCTCTAGATGGCATTGCTCTGGCCTCTAGCACTACCGTAAGAAACCTCGGAGTAACATTTGATCAAGATTTGTCTTTTAATTCTCATTTAAAACAAACCTCACGGACTGCATTTTTTCATCTGCGTAATATTGCGAAAATTAGGCCTATCCTGACCCGAAAAGATGCAGAAAAATTGGTCCACGCTTTTGTTACCTCTAGGCTGGATTACTGTAACTCTCTATTATCAGGTAGCTCTAGTAAGTCCTTAAAAACTCTCCAGCTAATTCAGAATGCAGCAGCACGTGTACTAAGAGGAACTAAGAAACGAGATCATATTTCTCCTGTTTTAGCTTCGCTGCACTGGCTCCCTGTAAAATCCAGAATTGAATTTAAAATCCTACTGTTAACTTATAAAGCTCTAAATGGTCAAGTTCCGTCATATCTTAGAGAGCTCATAGTGCCATATTATCCCACCAGAACACTGCGCTCTGAGAACACAGGGTTACTCGTGGTCCCTAAAGTCTCCAAAAGTAGATCAGGAGCCAGGAGTACTTAAATGTATGCCTGGTTTGTCTCTTTGTGAACTGTTGGCTTATTTTCCAGGTTATTGATGCAGATCTATTTAATACTATTAATTTAATTTGATATTTGATGTTTATGGTTTATTTACAACCTAGTTATAGATAGCATGTATTTACTTTTCATTTCAGAACCACACATAGGCCTACCTGTATGGAAGAATGAGCATGTGTTGATAGTGAGGCAGAAATTAAAATGAAAAATAAACAAAATATAAAGACACATTTGGGTTCTTCTCTTACACGATTCAGTGGATCAGGCTTCAGTTACCAGCCAGTCACAGCACCAACTGTACACTATACCTTCATCATTTACTCTCAGCTCAGAGTCAAACCTGCATGTCCTTCTGTTCCAACTGTGTTGTTAGCAGCTTACATCAGAAATTCCTTGATGTAGGCTGTTTGGTCTAAAGAATGATTTACAGGACTGCAGAAATAGGACACAGCAACATAAGCTAACAGCTCCACCCGGTCCGCTGTCGTCAGCCATCTTTGCCTTTGGGGCATGTGCGTTTGGAGGAATCGTGGTTTGATTACTTTGCCCTGTGACCTGCCTGTGACCTCAGTGACGTAATTTCAACACTTTTCTACTCGTACCCACAAACTTGAATTCGTGTTCACAGTGAGGACTGTAGTTGTAGAAATTAGAGTTGTATTCACAAGACTTTGCACTCACAGCTTTTAGATTCATACTCACATAAAAACAATCCTAACCCAAACAATTTCAGACTCATGTATATGACAGAATTTTGTGTACAACAATTTTATTGACAGACAAATGTTTAACATTACGAATACGAATGATTAAAATTATGAACACATCTTTTTGATAGTTGTCTTACACCATAGTATTGCACATGAAAAATTTCATTTTAAAAATGCAGCTGCTTCAAGTATGACAATGGAGCTCACAAAGTACTTTCAAAAGGAAACTGAGCGAGCGGTGAGCATTTTGAGTGAAGCGGAGTGAAATCTGAGTTGAGTATGGAGCTATAGTGAGCAGAGCATCATGGAGCGGCTTTGAGCGGGGAGCGGAAGGAACAAACAGCTCAGTGACTTGTATTTGTTGTCTTTGTCTCTACAGAAAGGGGGAAAAGGCTTTTCAGTATTCCATACCATATCATATCTAGCAGTCTAAACTAGATATAGGCTAGTAAAATGGTCTACTTGAAAACTACCTTGTCATTGCTCTATCTGTGGTTTCTGTACCTGTTGGCTGAGCCAGACTTTGCCTGGAGAAGGCCTGCCTCTGCTGCCACTCATAGAGCTGCCACATGGTGTCGTCCCTCATCGACTTCCTCTTCTCAGCTGTGGTGATAGGGTTGGTGGAAGCAGGACGGAGGGCCCGGTCATACACAGAGCCTGCAGTGCTGCAGATGCTGTCGGGCCTCATCATGCTGTTGCGGGGCAGCGTGCGATAGCCCTCTGGGTAGCGGGGCACAATCTGAGCACGGTGGCTGGGCATGTTCCTGGGTAAGGTCTGATAGGACGTAACACTAGGGGAAAAACAAACAAAGGGATGAGTACTAAGGGGAGAGGTTAGTTTGTCAGGTTTCAATCTGTATCTGGATCACTCTTTGGGGAGAAACTGAAAGGGTAATCTAGGCAATTTAAATGGCCATAAATTTGTTTATGTTATGAAGTCGTGGACTAGTGGGAAGCTCTGATATCCAAGTCTTGAGCTGACTGCCAAATCATATCAAGAGCCCTAATTTAATTGTGCAAGCGCAACAACAAGTAACAAGAGCTAGGCTTAACAAGAATATGTGGCCGAGAGGGCAAAGGGCTAGGTGAGTATATACTATAGAGATCAGATGAGTATAGATCAGAGGGTATGGTGATAGATAAATATGCCCTCAGTCAGTCACATCATGGGTCTCAAAGCTCTAAAACCGGTTATTCTGTTCAGCCCTGGGCTCATTTGCATGTGATTCAATTAGGGTAAACACAGCAGACAGCCATACACAATAGCCCCTTTTCCACTGCAGGAACTTTTCTCATTTACCCGGGATTTTGAAAAACCAAGTACCTAGTAGGGGGGTAGGACTTTTCAGACTACCCGGAATTCTTGAGGGGCAGGGCTGTGTGTTGAAGAACACTGATTGGTGGAAAACACACTTGCAGCATTCCGCACTTCCTGGAATGGGCAGCCGCTGCAAACTTTATTTCATTTCTACAGGCTTCACTTCATTTGTATTTTGAATAAGGATGGCTACCGAAACCCGGTACTAAATTAGCCCCGGGGCTAAATTGTCAAAGACTGTAGTACTGATAAGTGCTGACGGTATTGGTTCTCCTCGGCGCTCTGTGCCAGTGCTGAATTCCTCCTCCACACATACACCTGCGCGACACGGTTACTGGTGAACAGCCGTGAAGATAACTCGAAAATGATTCGAGTTGACGGCAGCTACACTCGTTAATGTAAGTGACATTAGCGAATAAGAAGCCAATACTTTATCAATACATGTGTTCAGCAAGCATGAATATGTAAACATGTAGACAGCGATATTCAATATGTTTCAATATGCTCCGTCCACAGTCTCTCATCCACTGACACTAACATTATGTCTTACACAAGGACAACAAGCTAGTTCAGCTGATAGTGAATTGTTCCTAATAAGCTCAAATGACAGCTGTCTGTATGTAGACTGACTTAGTTTGACACTAGCCCAGTGTGATTTCACATTTTGACAAATAAAGCCCTGTTTCAATTAGACACGTGGTCTGGTTGCCAAGCAGTTCATTTTTATAAGTTCTTTGGATGTATAAAGCCAGGTTGTTTTGCTACCCACTTGAGCTAACATTAGTTAGTTGCTTAGATTGTGCATACTGTTGGGAAATGGTAAGAGACCTCAGCTATTTGACACTCATCTCCACAGGATGCCTCATGGTCACACCCAAGTGAGACCAGTCGTCAAACTGATATCTGTGATATCACCAAGCAAACTTCAGGAAAAGTTGTGCTCTCTCACAAAGTCTGTCCTCTTTCCTCCTCGGCCCTTGACCAGCCCAGACAGGCTCTCTCTTTGCTCCTGGGCCATGACCAGCCCAGACAAGCCTTCTTCCTCCTGGGCTCTCACACGCACACACCCCTATGCTTGTATGAATAAATATATTTTTGGATTCATACCTGCTGTCTGTCCAATATTGCACAAGAGTGAATCAATAGTCAACCTCTGTTATGTCAAGAACTCCGGAATCCTTCAGGAGGATTAATAGGTTTTACTATTAATGTGGTTATGGTTATTAATTAAATTATTAATCATAATTCCAAATTGATAGTTTAGTGAAACCAGCTCAGAGGCCCTTGCCCCGAACCACAAAAAGGAGGGCAGTTGCTCACAGAAACTCTTTCTCCTGGACCATGACCTGCATGCCTACAGTAGGGCCAAAACCTGAAACCAGAGAAGTTAGTGTGCAAACACAAGGTTTGCAGCTAACTTTCCAGCAACAAGGAGAACCAAGTAGAGTTAGCACCCCAACATCTAACTCCGCAAGGACCCCGAGCGACCGCCTTCCTCAGATCTGCACTTTTGGAACAAGGACACAACAAAGACTGCTTCTGGAACCACAGCTCTTTCCAGTCTTCCTCTACCTGCTAACAAAAGCAGCACACCACAAAGCGACTCTTTCTTCCATCCATTCAAGGATTGGTAACGTAACAACTGGGCATAGCATTATTACAGTCGTACAGGCAAAGCAAGACTGTTTAACTTGTTGATTGCGATTGTTTGCAGTTAGAATATTGGTTAGTTGGCTTTGCCCAAGCTAAGTGATGTTAGTTTGCTAATGCTCTTCACTGACAGTCTTGCATGCAACTAAACATCCTCTGCACTCTCCCTCTCTCCCTCACACACACACACACACACACACACACACACACATACGCACACACACACCCACCCCTATGCTTGTATGAATAAATATATTTTTGGATTCATACCTGCTGTCTGTCCAATATTGCACAAGAGTGAATCAATAGTCAACCTCTGTTATGTCAAGAACTCAGCCTCAGCCTTTGATACGGTGGACCACAACATCTTAATTAGCCGTCTGGAACACCTTATTGGCATCAGTGGTGTGGCACTTGAGTGGTTTAAGTCATATTTGTCAAACAGGTCCTTCACTGTGTCTCTTGGTGATGCCTGTTCCTCCCATGCTCCCCTTTTGTGTGGGGTCCCCCAGGGGTCAATTTTGGGGCCCCTCCTTTTTTCCATTTACATGTTACCCCTGGGAAGAATTATTCAAAGGCACAACATAAATTTTCATCTATACGCGGATGACACACAGTTATATGTACCACTGAAACCTGGCTCTTCAGATGTTTCCCATGCTCTCTCATGCCTGACAGATATAAAAACATGGATGTCTAACAACTTTCTCCAACTAAACGAGTCAGAAACAGAGGTTATCATCTTCACCCCATCTAGCTCCAGCACCTGCAATCCTGAAAGTCTCCCCTCTACTTTTAGCATCCAGAAAGAGGCTCGAAATCTTGGTGTCATCCTTGACTCAGAACTATCTTTTGATTCACAGATAACGAAGGTAGTACAATCATGTTTTGGGCAGCTGAGACAATTAGCAAGAATCCGACCGTTCCTCTCTTCCACTGACTTGGAGAAGGTTGTCCATGCTTTTATCTCCTCAAGACTTGATTACTGTAATGCTCTGTACTCTGGGATTAGCAAGGGAAACATCCGTCGACTGCAACTTATTCAGAATGCTGCTGCCAGGCTTTTAACAGGTACAAAGAGAAGTGACCACATCTCTCCAACCCTTGCTGCTCTCCACTGGCTGCCTGTGAGTTTTAGAATTGATTTTAAGATTTTACTACTTGTTTTTAAAGCCTTAAACGGTCAGGCTCCTGCCTATATCCGTGACTTGCTTTTACCCTACAAACCTGAACGCTGCCTGAGATCCGCTGGCTCAGCTTTGCTTATGGTCCCAAGGTCCCGTCTTATCACAAAAGGTGACCGGGCCTTCGTTGTCCGTGCTCTGCAGCTGTGGAACTCCCTGCCCGGTGATCTCAGGCAGGCAAGCTCAGTGGATTCTTTTAAATCTCTTCTAAAGACTGACTTTTATCGATTGGCCTTCTCTTAATCCTGTTTTATTATTGCTGTACTGTATGTTTACTTTGTTGGGGATGGGTGTTTTTAAGTTAATTTTTTAAGACCAATTTTATTTCTCTTGGTGGTTTTTTATGCTGGCAATTGTATTGTATGTGATATGTTTTATCTCTGTTGTACAGCACCTTGTAACTCGTTTTTGAAAGGTGCTATATAAATAAAGTTATTATTATTATTATTAACTCCGGAATCCTTCAGGAGGATTAATAGGCTTTACTATTAATGTGGTTATGGTTATTAATTAAATTATTAATCATAATTCCAAATTGATGGTTTAGTTAAATTTTTGATACCGATATCACTAATTGGTTATCATTTTTCCCTCCTAGGTAATGGTGCCCCATGAGGTGATTTAATAGAAATAGAAATAGAAAGAACTTCATTTATCCCAAAGGGAAATTCAGCTGTCCAGCAGCTCATAAAAAAACAAAAATAAAATACATTAAAATAAGTGCATAAATAGAGATTAAATTAAAATAAAACTGTCCAGTACACAGTCCAGTCCAGTTGTGAAAATTTGTTAGTGTGTGTGTGATTGGATTCAGGACTTATTCAACAGTCTTATTGCCGTGTGGATGAAGGATCCTCTGAATCACTCTGTTCTGCAATGCAGTGAGATGAGCCGACTGCTGCAGCTGCTCCTCTGTCGCTCCAGGAGGCTGTGGAGAGGGTGTCTGCTATTGTCCATTATAGCTTTTAATTTGTTTAATATGCCCCTCTCCACAACAGTTCTTAGTGGATCCAATCTCCTGCAGAGCACTGAGCCAGCTTTTTTAACCAGCTTGTCCAAACGCTTGGTGTTTTTGTCTGTCAAGCTGCTTCCCCAACACACTGCAGCGTAGAACAGTGCACTGGCCATCACTGTGTGATAGAGCATAGTCAACATCTCAACACACATCAAAGGACCTCAGTGTCTGCAGGAGGAACAAGCGGATCTGCCCCCTCTTGTAGAGGGCGTGTTAGAAGACCAGTCCAGTTTATCATCTAGGAGGACCCCCAGATATTGTAATTGTAAGTAATTGATCTATTCCCATCCCCTCCAACCAGTCTCTCAGTATGGGGGGCTGGATAATATTAAAAGCATTTGAAAAGTCAAGGAAAAGGATCCCCACACAACACCCTGGCTCCTCCAAGTAGGTGTAGGCCTGGTGCAGCATGTAAAAAATGACATTTTCCACTCCCATGTGCTCCTGATAGGCGAACTGGAGGGGGTCCACAGCATCAGTGACCTCTGACCTCAGGAAACGGTGGACCAGGCGCTCCAGGGTCTTCATAATGTGTGATGTTAAGGCCACCGGTCGGTAGTCATTTAACTTGGCCGGACGCCCTACTTTGAGCACCGGTACAAGACAAGATGTTTTCCACTGCAT